GTCTTTGGGGAGAAATAAAGTGTGTATTTGATAAACATTGTTATGATGTGACACCGTTATTATTAGATATGAAATTTAGAAATTTAAAGCACCATTACAAAACTATTAAAGATAATAATAAAAAATCTCGAACTGGTCGAGGTAGAATATGCTGGGAGTTTTTTGAAGAAATGGATTCTTTATTTGAAAACGATAGAACTATCAATCAAGGAAAAATATTGACCACGATGCCAGAAGAAGCAAGACAACACTGCACAGAAGCAAGTGAAATTTCAACGGGGCCCACATAAGAAAGTCATTCTGAAGATAACCAGATACATTAGAGATTGTCAGTATCGGGTCAGAAATGACCTCACTTAGAAGAAACACCAACCTCATCCAAAAGGCAGAGGAACCGAGAAAGCCGTGGGCTTTATCGTTTACGACAGGAATATATGGTCATTGAACGTCAAAGAGTAGACAGCTTAACCAACCTGGATCAAGAATTGAAGAATCACAACAGTATACAAGCAGAAAGAAATAATTTACTGAAATAATATTTAGAGACTAGAGACAAATAAATAACTAGGCTATTTAGTGTACTGGATAATGAAATTCAATAAAGTGCTCGTTTATTTCTACAATTTTGTTTTATTTAAATTATTGTGTACAGATATTTACAATATGTCTTCTTTTTTGTTCAGCTTGTGCATTAAAACCTTCCTGATTGTCAGCTATTGCAGGTATTATATTCCGTGGTTCATTTTCTTCTGGTAGATAGTCGTCTTCTGGATTATTGTGCAATAATAAGAAATTGTGTAAGACACAGCATGCTAATATGATTCTTGACGCAGTTTCTGGCTGATTTACTTCTAAATATTTCAGTCATCTCCATTTACCTTTAAGTAGACCAAATGCTCTCTCAATAATAGATCTAATTGATGATAATTTGGTATTATAGATTTGCTGATCTCTAGTAGTTAAATGACCATTGTCTTGATACGGTTTCATTAGTGATGGGAGCAAGGGTTAAGCTGAGTCTCCTATCAAGTGATAAAAGGGTGGTAAGAAGTTATCTCTGCTGGTCAACCGTTCATATAAAGGACTTAAACGAAAAACTCGTATCATTTATTCTCTCTGGTGATCACACTGATATATCAATAAATATAGCACGTTCATTACATACACCTAAAATATACACATTATATTTTGTATAACTAATTTTAAACCATACATCATACCTTGCAAAATTACCGAATGAAACCCTTTTCTATTATAATAATCAAATGCGTTTCCCACAGGCTGTTGAATGGCAATATGGCACCCATCTATTGCCCCGATGACTCCAGGGATTCCACAAGAACGTACTTGAAATACGTATTAAACATTTACACAAATGATTATAGCCACATTCAATTAAAAAACAATAGTAGCATACATTGACAGATTCTTGTAAAGATTCTTGATTTGGCCAGACAATAAATTCATGTGTCAGCTGACAAAGATTATCTACCACTTCATTAAATATCTTGAACAAACTGCTTTGTGCTATTCCAAAACGATCTCCACATGCCAAAAAGCTTTCATGCTTACTTAATAGCCATATTGTTGCTAAAACTTTTTTCCTTAAAGGAATATGCTCATTCGGATTTTGGTGTACTCTTCTGATATGATTTAATAATACCTAAAAATTCAACAAAATTACAACTGTTGCCATACCAAGTAATGATTACGAACTGCTTACATTAAAAATGTGTGTCTCTGGACATTCTAAAATGTGGTTTGTATAACGTGGAATGACTTCCTCAAAATAATTGAGATTTGTTTACCTCACCACGCTCTTGAGGCATATTTTCTTCAATAAGTGGCGCAGCTAACTATACAGCAGCTTCAGCTATATTTAAGATGATATTTTCATCATCGTGGAAAGCCAAAGCCACAATATCATCCATTGTTTAGAATGTACCTTAAATTCCAGTGCGCAGTTGGTTAATTGTGTTGTTAGGTTAGAAAATTTTTGTCTACTTTTTCTTTTCCCCGTGTCGATTCACCAGAACATTTCAACAGTGATAAACCGTTTACAGATTAAACGCAAACTTATGTTAACTGTTTGGACTGGGTGAATGCAGCCATTGATGCTCAAGCGCCTTAGTTCATTTCTACTTGTAATGATGCACATGGTCTAGTTCTGAGTCAATGTTTTCACAACATGCTTATTAGAAGAATTATGGGGATACGCCACGCCTTTCGCGCATTTCGCGGCTCATGAGATATTGAAACACCTCTATTATGATTTTCTTTGCAACCAATTTTTTCAAAAATTAGTTTAGGGATGTTTCTATTAAAAATGTGGCAACGTGGCAAATATCATCAATTTTTATTTTTAAAAGTGGTATTGTTATTAAATTTGACTATAATATACAGAATGGGTATACAAATGTGAGTGTGGAATTAAAACTCTGATTCAGACTCAATTTAAATTGTTTCGAGACTTCAAATTGAAAATTAATTAATGATATATATTGTTATTAATGTTGAAATGTATATTATAGCAGACTGTAGGTACATAATATTCTATTTTTCCAAAATAATCATATTTATACAGGGTGTATCTAAATAACACCGAAAAAATTCAAGTGGCGATTCTCCGATGAAAATTAATAGGGGTCTTTGGTATAAAATTTTTTGAAAAAACCCTTCCCTGAAAAGTTACGCCCCTCCTAAAATTACAAAAAAAAATTGTTTTTCTTTTTTATCTTCCACGTACATCAAGCTAAAGAAACCAAACTTGGTGAACATTATCTGTCAATAAAACTACACTTTTTGAATTTTTTTCAACCCTGAACTATTTTTGTAAGGGGTTGAAATAATCAACCCCTATGACATTTTTTCTTATAATTTTTTTTTCGATAAAATTTTTTCCTTTTAAAAAATATGTCTAAAAAACCCCATTCATTTACTAACTTTTTGATCTCTTCAAGTTTCTTCGAAAAGTTAAGGATTTATGACAAAAAAAAATAAATGTATTGTAATGTATTTTTAAAAAGATGAGCTGTTTAACGCGAGTGTATTTTGCCGAAAGATCTAGTGGCCTGTTCTTTACAATGGAATCCGTAGAAACAAATGTCAATGTCATTTATTGTTACTGTTTCTTACTATTTCACAAGTTTCATGATTTTGTGTAGAAAATATTAGTTAATAAACCGAAAATATGGTTAACTATTCGAATTTAGAAATGGCAGATATGCATTTTACATATGGGTATGCTAACGGTAATGCATTGGAAGCGCAAAGACTTTATGCTGAACAGTACCCAGAGCGTAGATTACCCCACCATACTACGTTCACAAATATTCACCAACGCTTGCGGGAACTTGGAAAATTTGAAAAGAGAAGTCATGACTGTGGCCGTAGCCGAGAAGTTAGAACTGAAGCTGTCGATGAAGCCGTACTTAATTTAATTGAGGAATCCCCAGAAACTAGTACCAGGAAAATAGCTCGTGTCCTAAATGTAAGCCATTCGGTAGTTTTTAGAATTTTAAAAGAACAACAGTTATATCCCTATCATCTCCAACGGGTGCAGTCGTTACTGATTCGAGATTTTTTACCACGTGTGGTTTTTTGTCAATGGCTTATTAATATGATCGGCCAAGCGCCGCAGTTCTTAAGAAATATTTTATTTACTGACGAGGCGAATTTCTCAAGAGACTGTATTAGAAATTTTCGTAACAATCATATTTGGGCTGAGGAAAATCCTCATGACTTTTTTGAAGGAAATCATCAGTATCAATTTTCATTAAATGTGTGGCTCGGAATTATCGACGATCATTTAATTGGTCCCTATTTTCTTCCACGACGATTAGATGGTGACTCATATTGTCATCTTCTCGAAGAATTACCTATTATTCTTGAAGAAGTTCCCATTCAAATTAGGCAACGTTTATGGTTTATGCACGACGGTGCACCAGCCCACTTTAGTATACGTGCAAGACGTCACTTGGATGAGGTGTATGCCAATCGATGGATAGGTCGAGGAGGATATGTAAATTGGCCAGCCCGCTCCCCTGACCTTAATCCTTTGGATTTTTGCATATGGGGATATCTGAAATCTTTGATCTACTCAAGGCCAGTTGAAGATATCAATGATTTGCGAAACCGCATTGTAGCAGGGTGTGAAACGATAAAAAATTCACCAGGAATATTTGAACGCATACGCAATTCTATGAGAACAAGAGTAGATGCTTGTATTGAAGCTGAAGGCAATCATTTTCAACATTTTTTGTAGATTGTATTGTCAATATCCGACAGATTTTTATTTTTTGTTACTGTTATAACATTATTCATCATTTGTTCACTTTTAGTCTAAGTTCCAAACTTCTTAGCCTAGTAGAATCATAGGTCAACTATTTGGTTGAGTGTTTTTTAATAAAATGTTATTTAATATGACAATAAATGACATTGACATTTGTTTCTACGGATTCCATTGTAAAGAACAGGCCACTAGATCTTTCGGCAAAATACACTCGCGTTAAACAGCTCATCTTTTTAAAAATACATTACAATACATTTATTTTTTTTTGTCATAAATCCTTAACTTTTCGAAGAAACTTGAAGAGATCAAAAAGTTAGTAAATGAATGGGGTTTTTTAGACATATTTTTTAAAAGGAAAAAATTTTATCGAAAAAAAAATTATAAGAAAAAATGTCATAGGGGTTGATTATTTCAACCCCTTACAAAAATAGTTCAGGGTTGAAAAAAATTCAAAAAGTGTAGTTTTATTGACAGATAATGTTCACCAAGTTTGGTTTCTTTAGCTTGATGTACGTGGAAGATAAAAAAGAAAAACAATTTTTTTTTGTAATTTTAGGAGGGGCGTAACTTTTCAGGGGAGGGTTTTTTCAAAAAATTTTATACCAAAGACCCCTATTAATTTTCATCGGAGAATCGCCCCTTGAATTTTTTCGGTGTTATTTAGATACACCCTGTATATCTTTAAATGTCAATGTATTATTTGTTATAGGATGTGGACATTTATAAAACTTCTCTTAGAGAAGATATTGAAAACTGGCTGAAAGAGTTAACTGCTAAGGATATTCAAGATTGGTTAATCGTGGTTGTTGAGAATTATGATGGAAAAAGAGCTAATAAATTGCTTCCCAGAACAACTGTTTTAGATAAAATAAGAGCTGATTTTGCTCCTAAACAAGGTTTGATATATATATTTTCTGCTGAAAGTTATGATAGATTTTTTCTTCATAAGAAACAATATGGATTTCACTTCATTTTTGTATAATAATATAAAATTTTTCCAGAAATGAAACAGACATTTTTCCATGACTTAAATGTTCAATTTTAGGAGATCGTTGTATTTCTGTGATAAATCCTGGAAAATTGGAATCACGTTCAGCAGATTCTTGGAGAGGTTTAGTAGCCCGTATAAGGCACTTGTTGTTAGTTTCTTATGCCAGAGCAGTTTCTCGCTTAGAGGATCATGTTAGGCAGCAAAGAGAAAGAAGAAATGAAATTGGATGGGATTTTATGCAGTATTTTCAGCTGCAGGTAAAAAATTGAGTGTCTACAATATGCATCATTTATTACTGTTTACAAAATACTTTCAGGAAGAATTAGCGCAGGTATTGGAAATGTTAGGATTGAACGATGAAGCTCTTGTACAGTATGATGAACTAGATGCTCTTTTCTCTCAGTTTGTGGTCAATGGAATTACAAGTGAATGTGTTAACTGGTTGCATAAATTCCAGAAACCTCTTGAAAAATGGCATGGGTTGAAATTGGGACCATCGAAATTAACAAATAATCCATCTATATTAGAACTGAGAGCTTATCTTTTTGCCAAACAAGCTCATATGTTGTTGCTCACCAACAAAGTTTGGGAGGTATGATTTTCAATTTGCTTTTGTTTTCAAGTTACTTAATAATTTAAAAATTTTGCAATTATTATAAATTTTAGTGCAGGCTGGGCCAAATTGAACACTATTGAGAGTTTTCCAATTTTTTTTTACAAGGAAATAGATAATAGTTCCATTCCGATTTAAGGGAAAAAAATTAATTGCAATGACTATTCATATCTTGCTTAGCTTAGGAGATTTTTTGTGATGCTGAATAGCTTTTTTATTTGTAAAAATTTTTTATTTTTGTAAAGATGTCTTTTGTTCAGTTTTTTGTGCAATATCAGAGCTACACTATAACGCAAACTTTTATTTAAATTTATGTTTTAGTAAAAGTTTTAGGCAAAACCATTTCTGTCACTTTTGTTGTTAATCAAAAGAAAAAGAATGATTAAGAAAATAGAATACATAGATCGGATCTCTTCTGTAGGGGATTATAAACACTATTGCGTTCATTATTGTTTATTGGCCTGATTAGGTGGATAAAAATCAGAATCCGATGTTTCCCTTGTGGTCCGTCAAAATCGTTTTCTGGGGGTCTTTCAATTGGTCTGGAAGTATTTGGAATTTTGTAGTTTATATTGCAGTGTCTGATTTTTCTAATTTTGAGGCTGCCTGACATCTAAGATATGTAAGTTTTGTTTGACATACATTTTTACAAATTTTGAGAACAGTAAATAACGTGGAAGAAATATACACTTCCTTTCTTCCTCGCTCTTTTTTTGCTTGTTCGTCTTGTTTTGGTTAACGATAAATTCTTTATTAGGTTCCTGAGCAAATTTGTATTTATCGTTTTTTTTAATAAGATAAAAACATCAAAATAATCTTCACAGCATCCGATGTTGCAAATACTTCTTTAACATTTCTCTTAGTACAGCAAACCATTTTTCTTGTCTTTTTGAGGCTATTGGGACTGTTACAGAAATTTTTGAAGGGGTTTTAATAAACGTATTAGTACATTTTGAAAAAAAATACCACTTTCTTGCCGGCATAATGCATCTTACTTCGTTAAACTAGTTGCCAGTATTTTTCATCCGTAAGTCGCCAACTGATCATCAAAATATCGCCTAAACACAAAATACAAAATCTTTTTAGTTTAAAACAAATATTTTTTTTTAATATCTCTTTGGAATTTTGATATTTTCGCGCTCAGGATAATCCATTTTATTTAAGAAATTGAATATTATCTTTGTTAGACCAGTGTCAGATCGTCAAATTTTTGTTAAAGGACTTCAGACAAAATGAATGGAAATTGGGTCCTGCTAGATTTGGCTGGAATTGTGATATGTTATAGTTCTCGACATTCTGATGAAAAGTTGTCACGGGTCCAAAATGATCCTATGGATAATTTCAGAAATATAGAGGGGGGAAGTGTGTGATTTTGGCTGTAGGACTGAGTAAGCTTTACATTGATGGATTCAAAAACTGAGACATGTAATGAATTTTGATCAGTAGGTATAATGCTTTTGGGATCGCTGAACCTGAATACTTGGATAGCTTTATCTAAGGTCACCTGGTGGTCAGGTAAAGGTCGTTTCAAGGTCAAACTGAATATACGGCTAAGCTATCCGTGAATTCAAGTTCGGCGATCTTAAAAGCATACATACTTACAGGCAGGGACCCGGACCTTAATGTAATAACGATACCGGTCCGGTTACGGTTCGGTTAGAAATGTACCATTTCAGTTTCGGTTCGGTTACGGTCCACTAGCTGATATTTGGGTCAGGTTTTGACCAGCCTTTTTCGGTCCAAAGGGTTCTTATCGGTTTTCCCTTGTGATGTAATATCATTACAATTATAGTGAAAAATTCTTCCTGATAATTTTTCCATTTAATTATGCATTTGTAAAATTCAATACTTAACAATAATTATATCATATAGTGACTGCAAAAGTATGGCAACGGAATATGTTAGTTATCGAAATATGCATGAAGAGTAATTTTAGTAATTTTTTGGTTGCATCAGTTATCAATCAGTATAAAAATGTTTAGTTATTTAAATTTAAACGATGATGAACAATGTATTATTTATCTAGGATGAATGATGATAATCTGTTTAAGAAAATGATATGTAACACGATCACAACAAAAACAAACAGTAAAGTAATATGCCGTTTCTACCACAGAACACAGCCTTTACAACTCCAACTCCATAACTCCAAGCCCACAGATTTATAAAGAATAATTACTCTTCCCTTTGAGCATATACTACTGGAGGTAGCATGCCATTGCGAAAAGTTTGGCTGAGTGTGCGAGGGAGACAGACAGTATCTCGGTACATGCTCTCTCTCTCTCTCACACACTCAGCCACACTTTTCGCAATGGCATGCTACCAATTATTCTTTATAAATCTGTGGGTGAAAGAGTACATGCTGTCTCACTCTAGCATGCACACGATTGGTTGAAAATGAATGCTCGCATTCATTGACTCCCGTAGGGAAGCGAAGAATGTGACAGCTAGTGCTGGCAACTGAAATCGGTTTTTTGGATAGTCGGTTAACCGGTTTCGGATAATTCGGATTTTTACGAAATCCGAAAACCGGTTATTCGGTTATTCGATTCTTCAAATATCCGATTATTCAAATAACCAATTATTCAAATAACCGATAATTCGATAATCTATTCAAACATCCGAATAATCGGATTCTTTCTTTATAGCCAATAACTACATAACACCATAATATAGTCTTAGTTTTTTTCAGTTATTGACACAGGCTACATAGTACATACATATTACAACTATTAAGAGAAATACAATTTATTTTTATATTTTATGCTAGGACACAGACACAGACTGATAAAAAAACAGTCACCCACACCCACACACACACACACCAAACGACTAAATCTATTTATATAAATAATAAATTGAAGAATCACAGTAACAAGTGCAACTGTTTTAACTGTTTTAACATTTTAACTACATTAGATTTTAGAATATCCGGTTTTAACAACTATTCGACTAACCGGTTTTATCTGAAATCGGTTTTTATGGAACCCGGTTAACCGGTTTCACTTTTTTCTGGTTTTTGCCAGCACTAGTGACAGCATGTACTGAGATACTGTCTGTCTCTCTCACACTCAGCCACACTTTTTGTAATGGCATGTAGTAGATGCTCGAAGGTAAATCCACAGAAACACAACCAAAACGGAAGCTTTAGGAGAACCGAAAATAACCCAAAAAAACGTTTAAATTTTTTTTGGTTCGGGTTCGATATATGGAATAAATTATAACATGACATATGCGTTCAGTTTCGGTTCCGGTCCACAAAAAAATTACGGTTCTGGTCCGGTTTTCTGTCCAAAAATGGTACGGTCCAGGTCCCTGCATACAGGTTAACATTCGTGAAAGGCCTTTTTTCTTTACTTTGACCTTGAAATGATTTTGACGACCTAAATGTGACCTTTAGGGCTAAGCTATCCCCAAATCCAGTTTTCCCCTCAAAAAAACATATACTTACGCACTGGTTAAAATTCAATACAAGCCTTTTCTTTAGTTTCATCTTGAAATCATCTTGAATTGACTTGAAGGTGACCTTTAGGGTTACACTATCTCCAGATTCAGATTCTGCGAGCCCAAAAACCTATACACTGACTGGTCAAAATTCAATATGTCTTTTCTTCAGTTTGATCTTGAAACGACCTTTACTTGACCTCCAGGTGACCTTAAATAGCTAAGCTATCCAAGAATTCAGGTTCAGCGATCCCAAAAGCATTGTACCTCCTGGTCAAAATTCATTATATGCCTCAGTGTTTGAATCCATCAACGTGAAGCTTAGTCCTACAGCCAAAATCACACACTTCCCCCCTCTTTATCTCTGAAATTATCCATAGGATCACTTTGGGTCCGTGACAACTTTTCATCAGAATGTCGAGAACTATAACATATCACAATTCCAGCCAAATCTAGCGGGACCCAATTTCTATTCATTTTGTGTGGGGTCCTTTCTTTGATCAGAACAGTTTCGACAAACTAACTAAACATCTTATCAATGGGTCTCTGTTTTTCAATTATATGAAAGACAGGAAAACAAAGTATTCAAAAAAATAAAATGATAATTTTTCGGGTTATTCATAGAGCAACTTTGATTTCTTATTTTACTAATTTGACTAAATTAGTTCAATCAAGATCATTTGATGGTTTTGAAAGTTAATTTGATTGTCATCGAATTATTTTGTTAAGCAGTTTTGACAATCTTACACATGCCTTATACAGGATGTTTATTAAGTACTTGTACAAACTTTAAATGGTGAATCTTTGACTAATTTTAAGATAAAAACAAACATTTTTTTTGGACGCTCTGTATCTCAAGAACCAATCTGTTGTGGACCAATGAATGTTCCTTTTAATTTTTTCAGTGACTGCGCAGTACAAAAGTATATGGGAATAAGACTGTTCAAACATTTTTTTGACCCTCTACATTTTTTTTATTGAAATTTGGATTTTTGCCATTTTTAGGTGCAATTCTTTTATAAAATGAAATTTTTAAAAATGGTGAACAAGCCCATTGTGCGCAGAATACAAAAACGGCTGCGCAATTTTCGAAAAATGTGTGTTTTTTGAAGGTTAAGTTGTAATTTTGTTATTGTGAAACGTCAAAGTTTACAAAGTTTTCAAACTGTTGTATAAGAATTGTGATAAATAAAGGAAATTTGGTATAATATTTAGTCGCAAATATACCATTTCTGATAGGCAATTTGCAATAAATTGCCCACACTGGTAACACTAATGTGATTTGCATTTGTCTAGTTTTCGTAGTCTCGTATCGGTTGGAAATTTTCAAATGATCAAAATTGCCTTTTTTTTTGTCTTGTATTTGGCAAATCCATTTTTTATTGTATATTCAGTTGATTTTCATTAAATACAAAAACATATATAGTATAATCTCTATAATCCGGCACTTCACTACACCGACACGTCCAGTAATCCGGCGTTATTTTTTCCGCGTTTGTTTACTATTCTTGAAGAATACAGTTTATACAGTTATAGTTTAGTTGAAAGATTATTTTACAGAAACATAAAAACACTACAATATACATATATTTGCATACACAACTGTAATATGTATGTATCTATGTACCAATCTCTTTGTTAATAAACAATTAAAAGTAACGTTTTTTAATTTAATACTGTTTACATATACATTTTCCATTAATCCGAATTTTCCAGTAATCCGGCACTCTTAGGTTTTTAATGGTGCCGGATTAGTGAGATTGTACTGTATTGTCTGAAGTTATTTCTTTTTGTCATAATTTTCGTTTTTTTTCTCTTTATTTTTTTGGTCCCAAAAGAATCAGTCAAGGGTTATTTTTATGAAAATAGTTTTGCCTAAGTAAAAAAATCACACTAAAAAAAACTAACGGTGCATTGGAAATGAATCCTTAAATATTGATGCTGCCAAGATTTAGGGAATTTTCGTTACCAGTACTAATCCTGCATTGTTGGGTTGCCTAAGCTTAGCGGTCCCATGGCTTGTAAACTTTTATGAATACTGTATAAAATATGGTACAAAAAACACATCGCTTTGTTCACACACTTTAAGAAGTTGTTGACATTTCAAAAATCTATCTGTTTTCGTCTTCTCAACTTTTCTCACTTTTTGTTTTAGTTTCTTTGACAGTTTAAATTTGTTTGCTTTTGTCTGTTTCCATAACTAGAGATATATTTTGTTTATTCTATTATTACTTAACTTCATTTTTTAGAATCTGTAGTCAGCAATAATCCAAGTTCATAGAATAATTTGACACATATCTTTCACCATTTAACAAAATAATCGCGGTCTCTTTTAATTTTCTTTTAATGGTATTATTTTCCTTTTTCAAAATTTTTGCTGAACCCTACTGAATATTATGACCGTTTTCCCAAGCGTGATCGCAAATTTTAGATTTCTCAAATTCTCGTTTTCTAATATAATTGTTGTGTTCATCTATTCTAATATTCACAGGTCGAGAAGTCTCTCCAACATAATGTTTATTGCATTCACAAGGTAAGCTACAAATGCAAATTTTTGAATTTTGAAAATCAATTTTTGGGTGCGTCTTTGACAGTAAAGTTCGTAGAGTATTAGTTGTTTGAAAAACTCTAATATTAAATTTGTTACCTATTTTTCTTAATTTTTCTGATAGTACAGGAATATATGGAATCATTATTATGGATGTAATTTCTCTTTGTTGTGTAACAGAATTTGTCTTCTTTTCAATATTCCTAAAGATTGTTCACAATTTGAATTGAATTGAAATTTCATTTTTTTAGGAAATCAATTTGGCTCTATAAGTTTTAGTTCCCCAAACTAACAAAAGCAAATATTTACCACTGCAATTCACAGTTATTACACAGAAAGTTATTACAACATGATATTTACATTTGGCATTTTTCACATATATCAAATAAATGATTAATTATGACGGAGTGCAACAAATAGTGTATACCACGTGTCCCAGTTTAAGTGATACACGTGAATATCTCGTCAGTGAAGCCTCCTATCCAAAAATTCAGTTCATTGGGGGAAAGTGGTAGCTAACCTTGAATTTGACCTTAACCATGACCTCGAATGTTAATTGAATGTCAACTTCATAATTTTAAATGGTATCCTCTATTTTTTACCGTGGGAATGGATTCCGCAGAAAATTTTACATACGGATGTGAGTTCAACTTTAACCTTGCGGTCAAGGTCAAGGTCACAGCGAGTTCAAATGTTGTATCACCCCTGAAGCAACCTCGGAATAAGATGTTTGCCCCCAAAGTCAATGGGATTTTCATCAAAGTACTCAATCATGATCTAGGATTTGAACTGGACCTTGACCTTTAAGCTCATTTGAAGGACGACTACAGAAATCGACCTTGATGACCTCTACAAATATTTTTAAGGATGTTCGGTACCATTAATTAATGATTTTGGATTTAATCTTGAAGGTCATTTGAATGTTGACATTTTTTTGTATCGGTACCTGTATTCCTGAGGCTGAATCCTCGAAAAACGCTAAATTCTACACGGAGTATGTTGCAAAGTAATAAGGGGTCAAAGAAAAAGTTTATTTGACGATCAAATCAAGAGTTAACCTTGTAGTAATAACGAAATGATCTTGTAATTAAATGGGTTCACAAATAGTGGTGTGATATTTTTAATTTTTTTAAATTTTTTCACCGTCACTCAATCTCACTTACTTTGTAACATACTCAAATATGTCTTTTACAATTCTTAAGCAGAGTTATGCCTTTGTTGAGTAACAAGAAATTTTTTTCACCCTCTCGCACTCAATCGTCATATTATTTGTTCCTGCAATTGATAATATCCAATACCTATGTATTTCATTAATCCTTGTTAATTTAATTGGTCATTGAGAAAATTTCCTTTGGAAAATTATTGACAATATTGCGTCTACGTCGGAGCAACATTGAACTCGCTGTGACCTTGACCACAAGGCCAAAGCTGCGATCACATGCGAATGTAAAATTATCTGCTGAGTCCATTTCTAAGGTACAAAATAGGGGGTCCCATTTAAAATTACGAAGTTGACCTTCAATTGACCTTCAAGGTCACTGTTAATATCAAATTCAAGGTCAGCAACCGCTTTCTCCCAATGATCAAACAACTTTCATTTAGATCTTTTTTGGATTGGAGGCTTCACTGACGAGATATTTATGTGTATCGATTAAAATGGGACACATGGTATATCTCATGACTAAAGTACTTCCTTGGTGTACTATTCGGTGCCTATACATTTAAAAAAATTGTGTATAGTATAGATATTATATAACTTGTCACGTAACTTGAAAGGAAAAATGCAGATTTCAAACATTTTAAAATATGTATAATATGGATTTAAAAAAAATACAAGTTTACAAATTAAAAAACTGTACGTTATAGAAAAATATACAGGGTGTTTCTAAAATAGGGTTCCAAACTTCTGCGTTTATAACTCATTAAAATAAGCCAATAAGTTCCTATTAACATGTGTCCTAAAACCCACCCTTAGGAAGTTATATGCCCTTAAAAGGGCTCAAACAAAACTGTTTTTTTGCTGTTATTGACAAAACGGTCGCAAATAAATAGAAAAAAATTTATGGGCCTTACATAACTTTTTATGTTAAATAACATAGGCTACTCCGTTTTTCGATATGCAAATCATATGCGTCCCATTATGGTTGGTGAAGGGGGTTTTCGGCCCGTAATTTTTTTTATTTCAATTTTTTTACAATTTTCTCTACAGATTTATAAAATCTTAACAATTTTATGTAAAAAATATTATCTTTGCCCAAATCGATATTTCCAACGGTTTTCGAGTAAATTGAGTTTGAAAATTACTCTGCTCTTCAAGTTATTAGGCCAAAAATTACAAAAATCTGTTTACCATGGCAAATAAAAGACCGACGTTGCCACAATGCTTAACAATTTAAGTTATTGATAAACTGTCAATTATTTATTAAATGATTGGATCCTTCATAACTGCATTTTATTATTTAAAAAAACCAGTTTTGTTTGAGCCCTTTTAAGGGCATATAACTTCCTAAGGGTGCGTTTTAGGGCACATGTTAACAGGAACTTTTTGGCTTATTTTAATGAGTTATAAATGCAGCAGAAGTTTGGAACCCTATTTTAGAAACACCCTGTATATGTCACTGGATTCAATTATATAAACAACTTCTATACAAATTTAAACAATTTTCATAAATAAAAAAGTTCTATTTACCCAAAAATCTAATCAAGTTGTACAATACGAGAAACCCGCCAAAAATATTAAAAAGAATTATATATTTAATATTTTCATAAATATTTGCTTGACAAACTAGTAAACCTTGTTTTTAGATGGCTGCTCGCTGTTTACCTTTTCTACACACTTGTACTAGAGAATTAGCAATTTTAGAAATATCAGCGCCGCCTGGAGCTGTAGCCTGTTGGCTATTCTTAGCCAGCATGGAAGTTCTTCAGACTTGCGATAAATTTAACCATGCAGATGAAGTTGAAGATTACTCTCTGCATACAGCTAGTTTATGGGAATATTCTAGTCAAAAGGTAAAATATTAAAATAGCACATGAAAATTATATAAAAAAAAACTTTTTGCACTATCCTTTCAGATACGCAGTCTAGGTAGACTGTGTGGTTTGTTACCAGGGGATGTACCGAATTCAGAACAACTTCATACAGTTGTATTGTTATCTGCAGGTATGGGTGATGATCCAGGTACACCGAATCACTTTTCACCTACTGATAAACTTAAGGAAGCTTTATGCTCGCAAGATGCTTTTAATAAAACCTACTTGGTAAGTTTGCCATTGTTTAATTAGAGGGATGTTTTGCTAGTCTAAAAGTTGTATTTCTTTTATAAGAACAATTAATTAAAATTCCTAATTTTTTTTTATAATTAAATTTGGTATTCCAGGAATTGGCGGAGCTAGCAATGGGCACCTACAAACATATAGGACGTTTGAGATCAGCCAGGCTTGTAGGAAGAGAGGTGGCATCATTTTATATGTTGCTGGGTGAAACCCAGAAAGCTGCAGCTTTCCTTGGTGATGCTTTGAGAACGTTTGAACAAGACAGTTGGCATGAACTGGCTGCCCAGACACAAATTGAATTGGCTGAATGTTTTAAGAAAGCTAAAGATGTAAGGAAGTTAGTCAGTGCCAGTGCATTTGTATCTGCTGCTTTAGAAATTGATACTTTGATTCGTTGGACCTACTTCGATGAAATGCGCAAATCTTTGGACTCTCTTGTTAATCCTTTAGTAGTGCCTTTCAATGATATTATAAAGATAGTTAGTGTCAGTTTAAAAAGTGACAGTGTTATTATGCAAGATAGTTTGATTAACGTTGAACTTGTGATAGAATCAAATTTCCCCCGAGAAATTGTGTGTACAAATTTATTAATCTCGTTAGAAGTTGACAATAAAGAGAATAAGAAACTGACTGAAAAGTACGTTTCTAGCAAAGTGTTAACTGGGAAGGATTTAAAGTTGCAGAATCCAATGTTGCAGAGGCTACGGATAAAGAGAAATTTGGATTATAAACAGGATAAACAGTTAGCTACTGCTGGAATTGCGTCAAAATTTACTGAACTTAAGAGAAAAGACAGTGCTGCGCCTCAGACTCAAGGAGACTTTAGCTATTGCTTGGAAGTTTACAGCTTGGTAAGTATAATATTGAATTAATTCTTCTCAATATTGATGCATGTGAATGTACAATTTTTTGTGGCATTTCATTGCTCGCGATTAAAATACATCTACCTTGTGGTTATACAGGGTGTTTCAGAAAGACAAGGGGGTGATAGTACGACAAAAATAAGAATTTTTTGTCCTATGAACTATATGTCTATCTCCTCTTGTTTTCGAGATACAGAGCGACAAAATCAAATTTTTTAAATAGAATTTTTACGAAAATTTCCAAATGTTGCAAAATATTTTTATGAAATTTGGTAGTCTAAGATTTTTAAGGATGCCAGATATGCTGGTCTAATTATGTTTTGGATACTTCATAGACGGTGATAGTTATGCTACATTTCTATTACATTTTAAGTTCTAATTTTTTTTGAGGTTATGTTTTTACCTTTCGGGTTCCAATTTCTAATGTACAAGATTATTTTCTAAAAATAATGTACACTTGTTAGAACTTCCTAATGTGGACAGTTTTCGAGAAAAAAGGCTTTTAATTAAAGTTAAAATATTTCGGTGTAGAAAATAAGTGACTTTTCTCAAAGAAGTCTTATGTCAAAACTTATTGATGGATGTCTCATAAACAAAGCATACATTCTTAGTAATATTTTATACTATAATTAACCTTATATCAAAATTTTAGTGATTTTTAGTGACTGTAGTTAGTAATGAATAATTAATAAAATAATAAATACTTTGAGAAAAGTCACTTATTTTATACATCATAATATTGTAAGAATTTAATTAAAAGCCTTTTTTCTCGAAAACCGTCCACATTAGCAAGTTCTAACAAGAGTACATTATTTTAGAAAATAAAATTGTACATTAGAAATTGGAGCCTGAATGGTAAAAAACCTAACATTAAAAAAATTAGAACTTAAAATGTAATAGGAATGTAGCATAACTAACACCCTTTATGAAATATTAAAAAAATAATTAGACCAGCATTTTTGGCATCCTTAAAAACCCCAGACTACCAAATTTCATAAAAATATTTCGTATCGTTTACAAATTTTCGTAAAAATCCAATTTAAAAAATTTTATTTTGTCGCTCTGTATCTCGAAAACAAGAGGAGATGGACATATAGTTCATACGACAGAAAATTCTTATTTTTTGTCGTAATATCACCCCCTGTTTTTACGGTAGGTCCTTCTGAAACACCCTGTATATTGGCTATGTTCGTTTCTCTAATCTTTATTGTTATGTTGTTGTGATTATATTTAAGGCTAGCAGTCTTCTTTCCTAAATTGATAAACTATGAATATCACTTGGAACAAATTTGGCATATGTTAGAAATGACAAAGAGTCTAGCCAGATAAGGATGGTGAATTGCCCCATGACTAATGTGTAAAATAATATAAGTGTTGATATTAGCACACAATGAAAACATCCTATGTACATACCACTTTTAGTGCCGCTTCTCACATTACTTTTGAGATAATGTGCAGAGGTTATTTTTCAAATTAATTTTTCTCAAAAACTACAACAGTTAAAAATATGAAATTAATGCAGATCTTTGAAAAATATTTCAGAGAATATTATAGATTATTTTCAGATTTTTATATATTTTCAATGGTTTAAAAAAATGGAAAATAATTTTGATATTTTTTTTCCAAATTCTAATATACTTACACTCACCAAAAAAATTCTAGATATTTTTTGGAGTGTGTACTTTCATTACAACAAAGCTCTTTAAAATCCGAAAGGCGTTCTTTAACTAATAAAATAAAAACCTTGTTTTTACTAGTACTTACTTCATTTTTATAATAACTTACACATTTAAGGATATACGTACATTACCCCTTTACCTACTGCATATCTGATACCTAGTAGAACTATTTGAACACAATACAAAATTGCTGCTTTTCTTGCCAGAACTTCTTTTTATGAAATCTACTGTGTAAATTAATCGAACTCTACATCTACCTAATTAGGCAAGCTAGACCTATGTAGTTTGCATGAATTAATAGAAATGTCGATAGAAATACTCAAGCCAAATGCAGAATTGCTAATTTCATCAGAAAAGTTCCTATCAATATTGGGCAGTTTTAGAATTATTTTTGACGTAGCTTAGCTCAATTTAGTTAAATTCTCAAGATTCATTATTCTGCATTAAATATCTTTCAAGATATTTGTGTAGACATGATTTTTTCAAAAATTTCAACACTGTATCATGAAGACTAAGATCATATTTAAGGAACATACTATGCAGAGATGTACATATGTCAAAAATGTATTTTGGTTCCTATATTTCACATGAAAAATTTTCTTACAGCCATTACTCATAACCCCAGGATTAAACATAATAAGACTGAAGAAGCAAGCCACCAGGGTTGGAAAATTTTATCTAGGGCAAGTGGCAATACACATTAAAAACTTACATTTAATTTCTGCTCCCCTTATACCAAGGCTGGCATTGGAAATCAAAGAAGAAGGTCCTTCTCTAAAATTGTACAAAAGAGCTGCCCCGTTACTGTCAGGGATCGAACAAATTATGAATTTAATATTAACTATAGGAAGTTATTCAATTGAACCAGTAAGTACATATCAATTTTTTTTAGAATATGTTAGAAAGTATTTTGGTCATTTTGTTTTTTATATTTTGAAAATAAAATGTACCCCCCTCACTATCTCAAATTAACATGTACTTCTCTCTCAAAATTGGATCCTTTCATTTTTTTTTTATAAGATTGCAAAAATATGAACAACCTATTTCATAATTTCTTTTTTAATCCTCTTGATTAGAATTATCATTTTAGCAATTATAAGAATATATACGGATTCTATAATTCTGATAAATACTCCATCTTAAGTTTCTTCAATAGACTGAGATTTGGTGTTTTGTTAAGGTTAAGGAGGTTCGATACTGAAAAGAAAATGATAAGAAAGTTTTCAAAACAATAGAAATTTGTTAATAAATATGCAAACTGCCTCGTGTAAAAATATCAGATCTATTGCCAACGTAATTTTTTTGACAAGTGATATTAAAAATTATGCTCTTATATACAAGCTCTTATGGGAGTTGGGAAAAAACTTTAACCATACGTGAATATTGCTCTTAAAAATGTGCACTTACAATATATTAATTGAGATAATGGAATGAATAGATAACGTTTTGACAAATTTGAACAAACATCTGAACCAATGAAAGGAAATATGCCAACACTGTATGCTGTATTTAACGCTTTGACTGATGCAATATATTTGAATAGCTCGATTATAGACTATAAAATTTTTCCAATCGAAAACATATGTTATATGATTATTATGTTATTAATATTAATATTAAATAAATTTTTCATGATCTAATGCAATATACTTAATAACAATTTGAAATAAAAATTGAAAGGATCTCTTTGCAAAATGAACAGTATAGATGTTCTGTCATAATCTTCAATTTGACAAGGCGACGTCTTACTACCATACACTGAGCTTGATAGTTATCATATGAATTCCCGGTTTGCATATTTTACTTTTTTCTCATCAATCCATATTCTGTCTGTTTCATACGCCATTTACATTGCTTTTCAGTCATTACTTTTCCTTTGTATCTTGGATTCGTGATGCATGATTACGGTATACGCGGTTAAGCACAGTTGACAGTTGACCACCACGCCATACTGATGTGGCAATGTTGCCAGATTTCACCCATAGTTTTACAAGCTCTTAATAAATAAATAGACACTTTTATTCAAATAAAAAGTTAATTGCCGTGCATTAAACACGAAAAATATATGCGAGCTAATATGTGTTGTATAAATTTAATTTGCATATATTATATTTAGTTCGCTCAAATTAGTTTATGTAAGGTTGGTACTACAACAAAACTCCCGTGTATAAGCATAGGCTTCCCTACTGCACTGTCTGCCCCGCAAGAGATCTATCGAACATCCTTAAATCCAGTGTTTCGTAGATTTACACTTGAACAATTTGCTCATACCATTAGATATACAGGACGAGGGTAATTTTAGTAAAAATTATTTTCCTTTTGCACCAAATGAGTTACATAATTTTAACAAATATTGACTACTATCTATCTTTTAGGTCCAGAACAATACACACATTACAAATGATTGAGAATTATGATTTATTATAAAAATTGATACCTTACTAAATTCTGTTTTTATTTGGCCCCACATATATCTATTCATCTACGTGACCCAGCCTGACACTGTTTTTTTGAGAAATTTTAATGCAACATAAACAAAAAAATACTATTTATTGACCTAATAAGTATTTTACATTTATAACATTTTATGCAAAATTTCGCTTATGAAGATGACCCGATTAATGTTAAAACTATCAAATACCTGATGTAATGTTTATAAATATTTATTTCTTTATTTTCGTAATTAAATAATGTTTTAATTAAATCTCATTTCAGAAGTCTAAAATAAAACTAACCGCTTCACCAGGTCTGACTCTTCAGGTCAAGGAGGGTGAAACTTTAACAACGACTCTAGATTTCGAGGTGGGTCACAATGTCCCTTTTACAAGTACCAGAAAGCGACTTCGGGTATTAGCCGACATGCTGTCAAAAGACCACCAAGTAACTATTCACTGCCCCTGGACTACTAAGCCGATTGTCGTGGCGCTTAATTTTACTCCTCCTCTTACAGCTATCTGGAGGTTACACACAGTATTACATAGAAAGTTTATCCACATTACCGTGACAGGGCAGTGCGAAAAAGACTTAATCATAGATCAAGCTGTACTCAAGGTCGGAGGTGGTTGCACAGTGGTGGGCAAAAACTGTGAATCTAGTCAAGTGAGTAAACATTTTATTTAATGGTATTTTGTTCGGACGGTATTCTTATTCCAGTTTGTGCCTTTCATATTCAGGCTTATTCGCTTTATTTCTACTCATTTCCACTTACTCTGAGTTACTCCCCATTTATCATTTATTTCAATATATTAATTTTAATCTAGTTTCGTGAAATAAACGGTAATATAAAGCTCATGGTATCTGAATCATTTTTTAAATTTAGTACTTAAGCCACGATAAGTGACGTAGTGAACACAGAAGTAAAAGACAAAATTGTATTTAAAAAATTAAATTGATGGTATGATGAAAACAAAACACCTGATGACGAAATTAATGTTTTTATTCTTTCTGAAAAACTAGGAAATATATCAGATTGTTTGTCATTTCACTGGTTCCCCAGTGAAACAAGATTTTTATAATTTGAGGCAACCCGTATTTTCTACCATTTTTTATATCTCCTTGATAAACTTCCTTATCTTAGACAAGGTGTATATCATTACTTTTGTTGTAATGCATTAGAAAAGAATTCTATTCATAGTTTTGTCATAGCACCATGGCAAAAGTACATTTTTTTAATAATCCTATATCAAATTTATTTAGGAACATATTTTTTTTCTTAATATTTTTATTGGAAAATTTGATTTTCTATGTAACCCAACATATTTTTTTTATGTGAAAAATGCTGGATAAAACGTCTGACTAAGACATTTATCAATTCATGTGTATGGTATAATTTTATTTAGTCCAAGAGAATTAAGCTCAAAACCTTCGAGATATGGCTGTTGGTTGACGTTGTTTAGATATTAGTAAAAATCGGTCGAAAATAATATAAACAATGAAAATATAAGGTTGCGCCAAGAAAAAAAGTTGTGCTATTTGCAGAAAAAATTAAAAACTGCAAAAATACTCAAAAATCACGTGTTTTTTCTAACATTTTCCAATATAACTTCCTAAATATGCAGTTTACAGAAAAAACTATTACTGATGAAATTGTTTGTTATGAAATTTGGTATAAGGAAGAATTGTTTTGATACCTGCGCATTTCATATTTTTGTTGCTAGAAAGCCAAAACAGCGTAAGAAAGTGATGAAAATCGAGGTAATTTTGAAGTGTTCAACTGATAGGTAAGAAATTGTCCAATTCTACTATAAATGTAGATGTAAGTACTTTAAAGGATTACAAAACGAAATCCCAAAACCCGATCGAAATCGGTCTGATAGTTTTGGTATGAGACAATTTGTTACTAAATTTCAGCGCGAAATGTCGTTATTTTTTTGCGTCAATGCTGGGGTTAAAGTTAGGCATTTTAATTGGCGCTGATTTTTTTATACATACTTGGACTCAATAACTATCAGAAATAGAATCGTTATAATATTAATTTTCTTTTTTTTAATAATTTTTGGAGCGATTTTAAAAATTCAAAAAATTTTGACTTTATAAGCAAATACTTTCGTGAAGCGGTTTTGCGGGTTGGAATATATACCAAAGTACTAAAAAATAGTTCTCGGAAAGACTCTTAACTTGAAAAAAGGAACGTTTAAATCGGTCATATAAGTTCCGAGATATAGAGTGTCAAAGTCAACAAGCGCTTACTGCAAAACTATACATAATATAACAACAACAAAAATTGAATTTGGTAGGTTTTTTAAAGAACTTTCCATATGTGTTTTTATAAATATGACCGCACATGTGCTTTTTATATGAATATTCAATAATAATCGTTAAGCCGAGAGGAGGAGGATGAATTATAGAAATTGAAATCGTGCGTTCAAAGAGCGCGCGCGCTTCGGCGTTCAGTATCTCGGCTTCTATGGCTCTGATTTTGATGATTTTTATAAAAATAATATAGAAAAATGAGAGGAATTCAATTATCAAGGTTTCATTAAAACATTATAAAGCCCTTTTCGGTCTATTACGACTCAAAATTTTCCACATTTTGATGTTATACTGTATATTCATGTAAATAATAATATCGATGGTAGGATATAGGTACATAATCCACAATCCACTGTTCCTGGGTAGGTATTAGTTTTAATAATTACGTGCTAATAATGTTTAAATAAAATCTTGAAATTTTTATTTAATAGTAATTTATTTATTGTATTCATATAATATAGAAAAAAATATAGATACAAATAATTATTTTTTATGTTTACAAAACGTGTTTATTATATTTTCATAATCATCGTATTATTAAAGTTTTTCACTTTTTTATATCATTGGTGTTTTCACTTACAATATATTTGAATAAGTATCGTTGTCCATCATTTTCAAATCAGTGTTTAACTAATTGTAAGTAGGTACCACTGTTAAATTAACAGCAAATAATGACTTATGGTTGGTTAATTTAATTTTTAAAATGTGTCTGCAATTTCATAGCTATCCTCGCAAGAAAATGGATCATTTTATTTATCACAAAATCCGTCAAAAACATAAAAATTAAAAGATAGGTATAGGGAGGTGTAATATGGATAGATGTGGAGTAAATTTCTACAACAGATTTTTATTAAATATACAGGGTGTCCCATTTAGAAAAACCAAGTTTTGGCGGTTCGGTCAATCAAATTCGACAATAAATATGAAATTGAAATAGGTCGAAGACCATTAGACCATTAGAGATACATATAGGGAAGCTTTATAAAAGTCCTCTAAAAATATGCGTAGAATTCAAATATACAAAAATATACAGGATGTTCCATTTATAATAAGCAAATAGGTGGCGACTACCGGTATAACCGGAAGTACTACAACAATGGCATTATTTTATTTAAACTCTAAATAAAACCTCCAAAACCACCAGGTCAAAAATTTTCAAAATTCAAATCGAAGTAGTCTCCGAAATATTCTAATGGGTCGTCACCGCATGACAGCCTGTATAATGAATTGCAAAGTGCGATTTTTAATTGTTTACTAAAGGAAGAAATTTTTGAGAGCGAAATCAGCAACTATGCTATAAAAAAGCTTAATACATTTTTTAATAATGCGATGATACGTTTTATAAATATCAAATAATAATTATTTGTATCTGCATTTTTTTCTATTTTATATGTAAACAATAAATAAATTACATTAGGACATAAAAATTTCAAGATTTTAAACATTATTACCAAGTAGTTATTAAAATTAATACCTATTAACAATAGAATATCTACCATCGATATTATTTACATGAATATAGAACAATGAAATGTGTGAAATTCTAAGCAGTCGTAATAGGCTGATAAGGCTTTATAATATTTCAATGAAATCATGATAATTGAATTCCTCTCATTTTGCTATATCGATTTAAAAAAAATCATCAAAATCAGAGCCGTAGAAGCCGAGATATTGAACGCCGAAGAGGGCACGCTCTTTTTGAACGCGCGATTTCAATTTCTATCATTTATCCCCTTCCCCCGGTTTTGCGGCTCAAATGGTCGGTTTGACGATATTCACTGAATTTTCATATAAAAAGCACATGTGCTATAATATTTATAATAGCACATAAGAAAAGTTCTTAAAAAACCTACCAAATTGAATTTTTGTTGTTGTTACATTTTGCATAGTTTTGCAGCTACAGACACTTGATATCTCGGAACTTATGTGACCGATTTGAACGTTCATTTTTACAAGTTAAGCGTCTTTCCGAGAACTATTTTTTAGTACTTTGGTATATATTCCAACCCGCAAAACCACTTCACGAAAGTATTTGTTTATAAAGTCAAAATTTTTCGAATTTTTAAAATCACTCCAAAAATTATTAAAAAAAAGAAAATTAATATTATAACGACTCTATATGATAGTTAATGAGTCCAAGTATGTGTAAAAAAATCAGCGCCAATTAAAATGTCTAACTTTAACCCCGGCACTGACGCAAAGAAATAACGACATTTCCCGCTCAAATTTAGTAACAAATTGTCTCATACCAAAACTATCAAACCGATTTCGATCGGGTTTTGGAATTTCGTTTTGTAATCCTTTAAAGTACTTACATCTACATTTATAGTAGAATTGGACAATTTTTTACCTATCAATTGAACACTTCAAAATTACCTCGATTTTCATCACTTTCTTATGCTGTTTTGGCTATCTAGCAACAAAAATATGAAATGCGCAGGTATCAAAACAATTCTGTCTAATAGCAAAGGACCCCGCACAAATCTTATGGAAATTGGGTCCCGGTCAAATTCGCTGAATTTTTGATATGTGATAGAGTTCATCATACTGGTCAATTGTCTCAATGGCCACAAAGCTCAAAAATGGATAGTTTGGCCGGTACAGAGCTTTAAAGCTCCGAATATCCTCCACGGATTTATGTATATGCGCAGTGTGTATAGACTTTTGAAATAGCCTATTTCATTTTTTTTATTATCTAGGTTTATATTTTTGAGGTTGCTGAATTCAGATCTGTTGTTAGATTTTCAAAATTGACAGTTGGCAGCTGTCAAATAGCTGTCAATGTGCTATAATAAAGCCAAAAACTTGTTTTTTTATGTTTTATCTTTCTTTTTTTTTAGTTCGATAAGTTCAAAGACGATATCAAATCAATAACAATGACTATCGGCAGCTGTCATTTAGCTGTCAACAATTCTTCAAAGTCCGGTAATAAAGTCAAAAAATTATTTTTTGTTTATAACTTCAAGTTTTTTAGATAAGTGAATATAAATATGATATAAAATTATGTAGTCATCAGCTTACAGCTGTCAACAAGCTGTCAACTAACTGTCAAAATGCAATAATAGAGCAAGTAACTTATTTTTTGTGCTTAACTTTGTGGATAAGAAATCAAACATGATATAAGTTTATGACATCACTTTTGAACTCAGTGATCTAAGCAACTTAAAGCTTTTTAAAAAAAGTAACTTTTTGACTTTATTATTGCATTTTGACAGTTAGTTGACAGCTTGTTGACAGCTGTAAGCTGATGACTACATAATTTTATATCATATTTATATTCACTTATCTAAAAAACTTGAAGTTATAAACAAAAAATAATTTTTTGACTTTATTACCGGACTTTGAAGAATTGTTGACAGCTAAATGACAGCTGCCGATAGTCATTGTTATTGATTTGATATCGTCTTTGAACTTATCGAACTAAAAAAAAAGAAAGATAAAACATAAAAAAACAAGTTTTTGGCTTTATTATAGCACATTGACAGCTATTTGACAGCTGCCAACTGTCAATTTTGAAAATCTAACAACAGATCTGAATTCAGCAACCTCAAAAATATAAACCTAGATAATAAAAAAAATGAAATAGGCTATTTCAAAAGTCTATACACACTGCGCATATACATAAATCCGTGGAGGATATTCGGAGCTTTAAAGCTCTGTACCGGCCAAACTATCCATTTTTGAGCTTTGTGGCCATTGAGACAATTGACCAGTATGATGAACTCTATCACATATCAAAAATTCAGCGAATTTGACCGGGACCCAATTTCCATAAGATTTGTGCGGGGTCCTTTCATAACAAACAATTTCATCAGTAATAGTTTTTTCTGTAAACTGCATATTTAAGTAGTTATATTGGAAAATGTTAGAAAAAACGTGATTTTTGAGTATTTTTGCAGTTTTTAATTTTTTCTGCAAACAGCACAACTTTTTTTCTTGGCGCAACCTTATATTTTCATGGTTTATATTATTTTCGACCGATTTTTACTAATATCTAAACTACGTCAAGCAGCATCCATGCCAATGTGTAATTCTCCTGAACTAATTGTAATTACTTAGTAAATTTATTTAATAATTTCAAGAGGATCAAGACCAATTTAAATCGTGTTTAATAGTTTTTTAGACACGGTTGGCATTACATCTTAAAATTTAATGTCACCAGAATTCAGTTAAAAGTTGTTGAAAAATTAGAGCCAGTTCTATTTTTACAATTTCATCATGAATTTTGTCATCAGTAGATGACAATTTTGTGTATTACACAACTATTAATTGATGGTAAAAATATTTATCAATTTTTTTGTCTCTAAAAAGACCATTAGATTAACAAGTATGATCTGTCTAGAATTATAAAATTACCATTTCCAGATAAAAAATTAAGTACAGTAAAACCTCGATTATCCTTAATTGAATAACTAAAAATGTGTTTTGTTTTAACCATTACTGCAAATAATTAAATTCTGAAAACAGTGTTAAATTTTCAGTGGCTATCACAGATTATATTTTCACCTGTTTTCGAGATACTAACAGTTGAAAATCATTTTCCTGAAACTTCTCGGATGATATATGAAAAATTTACTTTATTTCTTCAAAATGAATGTATCTAAAATTATTTTACAGAATGAACCAAATTTATGAGATAATTTACATCATTGGTGTTATGTAAATTTTGAGACATGTAAAAATATTTTGCGAGTATTTTAGTTTATTTCATCATATTCTACTTTATGACAATGTATGTTATTGCAGTATAACTATTATTTGCAAATACACACAATCCTCAATTTACAAATGGATATCTACAGGGTGTAAGGAGTTTGACTGCCATTACTTTAGCATGAGATAGAGTAATCATAAATGAACAAAAAAGTTGTATATTATAGTGGTGTAAGATTAACAGTTTTCAAAATACAGCGAGTAGTAATATTGGGGAGTTTCATCAGAACGTAACAACAGCGCTTAGCCTAACGCTACACAGCGGATGCATACCACTTGTGCACGCAGCAGACTTGTCCTAAGGAAAAATGTAACGACTATTATTGTGAAACATTAGTAAATTTCAATTTTTTTCCAGTTTTTAAATAAATAAAATAAAATGTATCGATTTTGTAGTACGAAGATAGTGTTGTGCTTAAATTTTAGCAATTATGAATCTCTTAAAACATAAACTTAACTTTTAATCAAATTATGAATTTGAAAAATATGTAATAGAAGTACCCAAACATTCACATCATCCAAATAATCATACGTATTAAAAATAATTTAGGTATTTACCAAAAAAGCAAAATTCAGTAATTTTTAAACTCACAAGTATAAAACAAACTACAACATATGCTCAAAATGTCCACCATCATTTTCGATGCACGTACGACACCTTCGAATCCAATTTTCGCGCACTCGCTGGAAAATACCCGGATTTATCCTTATTTGATGGGCAACGGTAAAAATTCGTTCTCGCAAGTCTTCGATTGTTGCAACTTCGCTGGTATACACTAAGTTCTTCATATTTCCCCATAAGTATTTTAAATATTCAACTACGAGTCGACTTGCATGCAGGTGCCCCATCATGCATGAACCACATATTTGCTCTTACTTCCAAATGTATTTCTTCCAGCAATTCCGGCAAAACATTCTGCAAAAAATTCAAATATGCCTCTTCTGTCAATCTGCCTGTTAAGATAAAAGGTCCTATTAGATTGTCTCTTAATATTCCACACCAAACATTTAATGAAAAACGATGCTGGAAATTTGATGTCTGTATATGTGGATTTTGTTCTGCCCAGTTATGAAAATTATGTGCATTAAAAATGCCATTTCTAGTAAAGCATGCCTCATCTGTAGCCAAAATTCTTGAAATAAAATGGGGGTTACGGTCAGTTTTAGTTAAAAACCATCTACAAAAATTTAACCAAGGGGCAAAATCGGCAGCTGACAATTCTTGAACCCTCTGTAGATGATACGCATATAACAACTGCTCTCGTAGAGTCCTGTAGACAGTCCAGTGAGACACTCCAACTTCTCGAGCTATGCTTCGAGTACTACGCCTGGGGTCTCTTTCAACAATGTTTAAAATTTATTCTTCCGCATTGACATCCACTTGTCGGTTTGGGCCATGATCAGGGACGAGGAATCACCCTACCAATTTCAAGAAGACGTTGTGAAACTTACACGAATGTTCTTCTGTTACAGCCCTTACACATGAACATTGTTTTGCCGATCGACATTTTTACCAGTCGTTGAAAACCGCGCGGGGAACCTTTCACATGGCATTGCATTCAAATGTTACTTTAGATGGAACGTAATGGCTAAAATTGACTTCCATGTTTCTGCGATTCCTTTACTAGAACTGTCTCTGTAGCTGCCAGTCCTGTATTTGTGTCTGCGATCGGTGTGTTCGCTGTTTTGTGTGTAAACCTGCATAAGCTACTATTCATTGAAGCCTGTATTATATTTTATGGTATTCTATGCACACAGTTATGTCAATATTCCTTAATTAATTGAACTTTTGTACATCAAGTTGGAGATTTTGATAATTTTTTCTCGGAAATGGTTGAGTGTAGGACCCATGTCATATAAGGTTTTTTGTTTATTTTAATGTATTTATCGTCTATTAAAATTAAGACAGTCAAATTTCTAACACCCTGTATATCAACTATAATAATTATGCCAATATATTAAGATTTCAGTATTAAATATTTTCTGGGTTTATCCCTAGTGGCTATTAGTTTACAGTATAAACTGAAATACCTCGTTTTACTCCTCAAATTCTCTTTATTCTACCATTCAATACAACTATTTATACATTCCGCTGTTTGACTATTAATTATTTTGTAACAATTCTTTTGCTGTTTAGTTTCAATATTTTAAATTTTTTGCCCTAGTTCGTAACTAAATTATTTCCTTACTTTTGGATCTGTTACCGAGTCATTGTTCAGCTTCTCCTTTATGCTACCTCTACTTAATCACAGTGGTGGCTCGTGACATTGAGAATAGGTGAAGCATATTCATTGACTAAAATAAAAAAAAGCGCCGCTGGCGAAAATTTTCAAGGGCAAACGGCTTTAAATGAATCTGGAAATTTTTAGTTACATTTGCAATATTACCAAAAAACTGATGTTCGTGAGAAGGATTTTCATTTAGACTTTATAAAAAATAGAAATATTAGTTCGGATTGCGGACTTCTGCGAACATTACGCACACCCTACATGTATATTCCAAAGAAACTTTGTGGTTACGACAGTCTCGCGTGACATTCCCAAAATTGTTAAATCCCTTATTCCACACGCCCGACTACACCCACAATTAAACATGGCATACAGAAAAGTTTTTTTAAATGAACACCACACAACCAGTTATACTCCGAACTATTCATTCCGAAACTTTCGAACGTACACGTTGTCATTTGACTTCCCCTTTTCCCATATCGAGAGAATAAGGCATTGGGCCACGTGTATTGTATAAACTGTTAAAGGCACTGGCAGGCAGGCAGGCAGGCGATGACGCGATGGGTGATGCTGGGCTGGATGCTGCTTCCGTTATCGAGAGAATAAGGCACAGGTCTCTCGCAATTTAAAAAATCCTGTTTTTCCTCAATTTTCCATCTGGAAAATGGCTATAGTATAAACTACGTTAAAATTAAAATTAACTAATGTTTAGAATAAAAATTATTAAAATGTTTTATTTTTATACTTTCCAATTTGACCCTAATAAAATCTCTTCAGAAGGTATCAAACTCAACATTAGAATTATTTTTCTGATAACTTTTTTTGTCAAAGACACACCCAAATAATGATTTGAGCTTGAGTATGTAGAACTAGAATGAAAATACATTGATCTGAATGAAAGAAAACGTAGAACTATTCATGTTACAATAAAAACCTATTTTTAAATGTAGTTTTACATTTTCCCGCTTCCCTAACATATCCAATACCATATATTTCTGATTGTTATGCGAACAACGCTATTACTTTTCTGATATGTTTCAGATTATTTCTAACGGGTTAACCTTTTCATATGTATGGGAGTTATTGGTCAATCCAGATGATTCATCATCTATAATTAAAGCAGAATTTTCTGTGAGGTACAAATTAGATGAAAACGATAATGACAATAAACTTTACCAGTACTTTTTCGATATAAGTGACTGTCAGGTAAGCAAATATATTTATTTTTTTATATACAGTGTAAACTCTTTAACGAATTTTAAGGGACTTTTTTTTTCGTTATAGAGTTTTTGTTATATAGAGGGAAGAAGGAAAAATAATCAAATTTCACCAAGTAAATAATTTCCAATTTTATTATGTACTTTCAATACGTAATTAAATTATTCCAAACACATATATTCTGTTAAATTTGCCTGACGTTTTTTTGCTATGCCAATATTTGTTTTGTATTTTCTTAAGTATTTTATGCATGTCTTGGGATGTGGTGGAATCATCTTCATGAAACAATAAGAATTTTTCGATGAGTTTGGCAGCATCAAGTGTTTGATGAACAGTTGGTGATGGTTCAGAATCGCCCACTTGATCATCTTCATTATCTTCATTTGGTTTCTCTTTACTTTTTGACACTGAATCAATAATGTCTTCATCAGTGAGTGAAGCGGTTGTGGCCAGATCCTGATCTATATTTTCATATGTTTGTAAATCTTCGCAGAAATGATTCGGTTGTATGCTGAACTGTTTAATCCAATCACTCAATGGTAGATTGTCCTCACTGCCAAACTGCTCTGTTTCCACTGTCTGACTGTTACATAGTCCCATGTGACAAAAAAGAATGCTGTATGGTTGCTGCTGTTACCTCTTTCCAGGCTTTTGATATGACATCTCGCGCCTCCGTTCATTTTACCATAGGTAATGTTATGACGGTGCTTAAATTTTCCAAGCCAACCTTCTGATGCTTTAAAGTCAGTAATGCCTAGCTGTTCGGCAAACTTCTCAGCCTTGGCTTTAACAATTGACCCCGAGATGGGTATATTATTCTGACGCTGATCTAAGGCTTCGAATTTTGGCTTCCTTAATTTTTTAGTAGACACTCCCTGTATTTCTGCCTGTAGAATTGCTTCTTTATTTTTCCAAATGGTAGCAACAGTAGATGGACTGAACGTCTTCCAACATTACTTTTCTTTTCTCCTTTTTCTATCGCAGGTATCAAACAAACTTTTTCGTTAACATATAACGTTTTTGTTTTACTGGCCATCTTGACAGTTTTAAAGTAGGTTTACGACTGGTAATACACAATAGGTGCCTAGTGCGTTTAGTAACTGAGTGCAAAATTTCCTAGAAACAATGTAATCCAAGAGTAATGGCATACGTGTTCGAGGCAATTAGCAATAACAAAAGTAAGGCAGTTGTTTACGACCTCAGGGTCTTTCTTAGAAATTTCGGCACCTCAAAGATTTAGTCGGAACCTTTTGTAAGCTGATTATAAAAACAACTAATACTTCTGTAAATATTTGCTGGCGTCTACATATGAACATATTTCTTCGTAATAGAGAATGGCTGTTGCGCTATAAAGAGTGTATTAATGTATGGGTTTTGACATAAACCAACCAAATTGACCTAATTTCTATGTTATAGGAAGTTTTTCATTATAAAGAATCACGTTATAAAGAGTTTACACTGTAAATATTTCATGCGGCATAATCTTTTATTGCCCACATGTTATAAAAACAGATGTTACTTAAATAACTTTTTAAACTTCAAAATATCGTATTAAAGTGTTTCTCCAAAATTAAGTTATACAATAATCTGTAGGATATGATTTTTCTTATGAAAATTTCAGACTCTCTATATATTAGACGCCAACGTAGAACCGGCCAAAGGGAGTGAATTTTGTAGAGTTGGTATTGTTTGCCATTTAAATCTTTCTATGAAAAACGCAGGTCGAACTCTGCAGACAAACAATAATGTGAAATCCGTAATGTACGAAGTACTTGCAGAACAGAGTGTGTGGGCAGTTTGTGGAAGAACAGCTGGTGTGGTATGTTTTGATACAGACGAAGAGCTGCAAACTGTGGTGTTGGATGTAATGCCTCTTACCAGCGGTCATTTACCCTTACCTCTGGTTAGAATTTCCAAATATATTCCAGCGGAATTTGGGAGTTCAGGTGAGAATTGCTTCTACCTAAAATTTAGTATTATTGCAATTTATATTTTAAACAACGTCCAGCAAGCAAACTAGGCGCAAGTGTTAGTGTTTATTTTCAATATAATAAAAAAATCCGGTGGTCAAAAGTTTGTTGAACAGTTAAGTTAAAGCAAATAAAATTCATTAAAGTGATATTAGTCAGGGTTCATAGTTCAAAAGTAATAAGTAATAAGAATTCCTTGACTTCTCCAGGTTTTCCTTGACTTATAAAAAAAATCCAGGTCACTTGTAGTTCATTTTTACATACTAATTGGTGTTTATGCATTAAATTTTTTCTCGACTGGACTCCATTATCTTTTTTATACCCTAACAACCTCTTATAAAGGTTTCAAAACCACAAATAGTTTTCTCTTTCAAGAACCCAGGGCCGACTTTCACAAAATTTCCAGTTGCAAACATCAAATTCCCTGACTTTCATGAATCTTTTTAAAATACCCTTACTTTTCCCGGTATTCCCAGTTTTCCCGGCCGTTACGAACCCTGTTAGTGTCAGTACGAAATTTTCCTTATATTTTTAAGAAATTTTTCTTTATTTCTATCATATAGTAATGGTTTGGGACACAGTTTTCAGGAGTCCATTGAAAAATAAAAAGTTTACAATAAAAGATAAAATTCATACTTATCAATAGAGATGCCCAGTAATAAACTCTATACTCTATAGCAGCGGTCGGCAACTGACAGACCGCGGTCCAGATCCGGACCATGGAAGATAAAAAACTGGACCGCCAAAAATTTTGTTAAAGTATAATTACTCAAATTATTTAAAGCATATTTTTCTGTAGATAACAATACGTTTGAGTGCCTTCCTTATAATTTTTTAATGGTTAGTAGGTAAAAAAACTGGCTCAAGACTGCAAAGGTAATTTCTTCCATTGATTTTTTAATTTTTAATTCAAATATGCCTGTCTATTGTATTTCATTTCATATTATTTTGTGAGTGCAACTTAAAATAAAAAATTTTCTGGACCTCGTTAAAAATTTTCAAAAGTAACCCGACCACCTAAAATTAGTTGCCCCTCTATAGAATTGGTTTTTATCATACAACAACAGCACATGAAAGGGAGTAGATAGAATGTCAGAAAAACGTTTCATATTACCAACAGAGTTGGTATTTATTTCTTTTATACAGGGTGTTCTTAAATAAGTGTCGCAACGAAAAACTGTAAATTATTCTTGAAAAATTAGATATTTTTTTCCTCTTCCATTTTTCACTCCGGGCTTTCGTGATACACTTTAATTTTTTTTTAGATTTTTGCCTATATCTTAGGAACTGTTTGAATTGCAGGGCCGAGCTTTTGTACACACATTACCACTATTAATAGCTACTTTTTCGCACCCTTCTCGAATTAATTGGACATGCCAGTGGTGGAGATTTTAAGGTATCATAAGGGTTTTTCCCCCTAACTTTTACGCCACTGGAAAAATTGACATTTGACGGCAAATTCTGAAACGCCAATGAATTTTACTCTATAGTCAACCGCCGGATGGGGATATCTGAAATGCATCGTTTATGAAATCCATGTCAATACTATTGAAGAGTTGACCGATAGGGGTAAAGCCGCAGCGGCAGAAAGAAACGTGATTCGAAGATGTAATGCGTGCATTGAAGTCCGCGAACGTATTTTTGTACAGTTTTTGTAGTCATTTTCTTGAAAACTGTCGACTTTAGGGCAATGAACCAAGAGAACTCTTTTTGTGCCCTATGAATTCAAGAAGGGCGCCAAAAGGTACCTATTAATAGTTGTAATGTGTGTACAAAAGCTCAGTCCTGTAGTTCAAAGGGTTCCTAAGATATTGGCAAAAAACTAAAAAAAAATTAAAGTTTTGACACGGTGTATCTCGAAAACGAAAGCCCAAAGAGAAAAATGGAAAAGGCAAAATATGTTTCTTTTTTCAAGAGGAATTTACAGTTTTCTGTTGCGACACTTATTTAGGAACACTCTGTATAAAGGGAAAACATGATCTGGATTGTGAGAATTTTATGTAAATATTTATGATTTTGAAAAATATTCTAAGCAAAAAATTCATTTTTATTTTCAGAAAAAGTATTTTTTAAATAATCTGAGACAAAACAATATTAAGACTAGAATGTTGAAACTGCCTATTACAAAGAATAAAAAATCGACCCATTTTTATTTTAGTATATCTTTTTAAAACGGAAAGATATAACATCTGACATAACTTTGGGAAAAGGATAAAGATAACAAAGTAAAAATAAAATGAAATAATCAAATATTTAACGGGTCAATTCGTAAAAATGTACAATTTTCGCATTTTTCAAACAAATGATTAATGTTTTATAGAATTACTGAGGTAGGTTAATTTCTAGTTTTCTAATAAATATATTGATGAATTCATGTTTTGTTAATACTTATTTAATACCTAAGTTATATTTTAATAAAATTAAGATATTTTCTTTTTTTTACTCCATTTTAAACGTATTGAGCTAATTCAAATTCAATAAATTTTTTCTAAAAAAATCTTATCAAATGAAGTGAAATAATGTTCTTCGACACTTGAAATCTAGGTATGTAAAATATATCTAACCCCTACAGGCAAGATTCCTAACTGCAGATATTGCCGGAAACAACTACTCTGTGGGCTACATGCCTCAATGAATATTGTATTATATCCCCAACATCCAGTAAACAACTGGTAATAAATAATTACCCGAAGTAAAAATGAAAAATGAAAGAACCAAGCCGCTGCGGATCCATGTTCATATGAACTTTTTATCTTAAAGTTAGTCAAAGATTTAACCTTTAAAGTTTATACAAGTACTGTATAATACAAAAAAAAAACATACCTGATATACTGAAATTATTAAATAATGTGATCAATGTAATGTATTTTGTATTTTTGTTGTTCTCTCACCTTTGACAAAGGTGAACACATAAAAAGCAGCTACTACAAAGAGATGTTTTTGTTTCCATATTTTGCTTAGGATTGTTTCACATGAAGTGTTGAAGTACAAATTGAAAGGTTTCATCGTTTCTGTTGTCTGGTTACATGTTACGTATAGCAATAAACCCTATGTATATTTGGTAAACATAACCTCAAAAGGTAAAAAATTTAGTGTGCAACTATTTAGCATAATTCGTTTTTGCAGAATTCTGTTGCAGGTGATGTGCACATAAAATCTCCTTAATACATCTTAACATGGCAAAAAGGGGTAAAGTCAAAAGATGAACTGTGAATCATGACGCTTATCAGAATTTTTAGAATAATCGGATTTTCACTTAAATCCGAGTTGCAATCGCTTGATAAAAGCCTCCTTTTAACGTGTTGCAGCAGGCAATACGCCTACGCAAATCAAATACGAGTTGGATTCTGTGTATGGGGACTCTGCACCATCATTTACCACAGTGAAATTTTGGGCAGCTGAATTTAAACGTGGCCGTAAGAGCTTGGGAGACGATGAACGTTCGGGACGTCCAAAAACTGCAACTACCGACGAAAACATCGCCAAAATTCCCCAAATGGTGCTAGACGACCGCCGAATTAAAGTGAGAGAGACAGCAGAGGTTATGAACATGTCAAAAGAACGTGTTTGTCACATATTAAATCAACATTTAAATATGAGAAAACTGTCCGCGCGTTGGGTGCCGCGTTTGCTCACGTTAGACCAAAAACGTGTTCGAATGAACATTTCCAACGCTCTGTTGGCGCAGTTTAGGCGCAATAAATCCGAGTTTTGGCGCCGATTAATTACTGTAGATAAAACTTGGATACATCATTATACGCCCGAAACAAACAGTCCAAACAGTGGACTGCAAAGGAGAAACTGGCTCCAAAAAAAGCAAAAACTGTTTTTTCGGCTGAGAAAGTGATGGCGAATGTTTTTTGGGATAGTCATGGAGTTATTTTAATCGATTGTCTTCAAAAAGGAAAAACCATTACAGGAGCATACTACGCATTACTTGACAAGCTGAAGGCAGAACTTGCGGAAAAACGGCCACATTTGCAGAAAAAAAATCCTGTTTCACCAAGACAATGCACCGTCTCACACCTTAGCGGTTGCCATGGTGAAAATCCACGAATTACGGTTTGAACTGCTTGACCATCCGCCTTACTCACTAGATCTAGCCGCAAGGGACTTCTTTTTGTTCCCTCATCTAAAAATTGCGCTTGTAGGACAGAGATTTTCGTCAAATGAAGAGGCAATCACCTTCGTGAACAATTATTTTGCAGAGAAAAACGCCAAGTACTATTTGGACGGGTTACAGAGATGGGAGCATCACTGGGAGAAGTGTGTAGAGTTACAAGGACACTATGTTGAAAAATAAAAAAAAAAATTCTGAAAAAATGTCTTGTACCTTTGTTAGGTCGGAAACTTTTCAGACCACCCTCGTACAAGGACATATGGAAATGATTTTTCAAGTGTTCATGCCAATTGTCCATCCTTATATCTTACTGAGGTTTAGGACCTATGACATTCACAATCACCAAATTGAATAATGGATAGACATATTTATTAAAACCATAGAAAATCCGTAGATCCGACAATGAAACGATCTTTTAGAATAAAGAAAAAAAATAGGGGGTTGCTATTTAAAAAAAATGTCGATGACGTCATTACTCGCAAACAAATGACAGTTGAAAATCGCCTTTTCTACTAAAATATGTATTTTTTAAATTCAAAATCGACCTGTTTGAGGATTTTTCCCTAAAAAAATTTGTTTCGTTTTTACTGAATTTATTCCATACTTTAGGCATGTACTGTATTTAATACACATAAACTAATACACATGGTAACTTTAATTTAAATTGCGAATTCATAGTGTACATTTTGCTGTTACATTTGATGTTTTAATATTTATTTTTTTTGTCTTTGTAGAAAAATCAAATAAAGGGGATACCCATCCACGGTTAGAACCTTTCAGTCCAGGTCAAGTCTACAATAAGAGCAAAGGAAAGCAATTGCACGTAATAGCAGCCTTAACTGAAGGTTATCAGTAAATTTCCAAAGTCCTACTTGTTGATTATAAATTTTATAAAATTTATATTTAACTACTACATTACTTATATTAATTTGTCAAATGTTTGACTGATTTTGTGCCAATTTATGTTACTTGCCGAACATACACATATAGGTAGGTATATGTACACAGATATATGATTTTTTCTTATTTTATTGATCATCACTGTGCAATATGTGACTCCAAACATGTCAGATATTAAGTATAAATAATTTTTCTTGGTTAAGGAGAATTGAAGAACTTGTAAGTAAAGAGTTTATTTTTTTATGTAAGGTAAAAGTTTATATTATGTCATATGTATGTTGTATATTATTGGTGTAAATATTTATTTCGGTATTTATAAGTGATATAAATAAATGTATATTTATTATTTGTTATGAAGTAGTAATGTTTATTCAATTCTTAAAATTTCCACTTTTGTTATTGCAAAGCTGTACATAAATGTTTATTTTTCGAGACCAAATATCTTTGTAATATTGAAAAGTAGTATAATATAAATACAAGTTTTATTTCAGAAATTATACCAAAAATTATTTTTCAGTAAGCGGCATATAATCACATGCAAAAAAATCATTTTTGATAAAAAGAAAACTTCATTATTGTCCATTTGACATATTCTTATTTGGAAGAAATAAAAACGTTTAGAAACTATAATTTTTCATATTCCTATTTCATTTATATTCCTAAATAGACGATAAAAGTTTAATAGAGGGGAAATACAATTAGTAGTATTGTCTTATTTACATTAGGTTCAATATAGTTCAAACAATGTCTTCCCATTGTTATCTATCTTTCATTTTGTTAATGATTTTAAATTTAAATATGAATTTTTCCTATTAAAATTTTTTTGAAAAACTGATTAGGAATCATTTAGTAAAAATATACAGTGTATTTTACGTCCAGCAGCACTGTCACTGTATTTTCAACATGTGTTCTATGACGCTACATTACTATAAGTAATTTCTGCTTATATCTGAATTTCATAATATATTTTTAGTAAAAACATGTAAAAATGTAGTTTTAAAATATGCCTTATGTTTTCGACAACTACTGAAATATTTTATACCTGTATATACAGGGTGATTCAGTCATAATGTCATTAATTTTAAGAGGAGAGAGAAAAATTGGTATATGATGGCGTGATTAAAAAAAAAATTAAATGCATATTTAAGCTGAAAAAAAAAATATTTTAAAATCATTATTTAACCCCCTTTTCAGGCTGTTACTGACCGGTTCACAGTATTCACAGTATATGAACAAGACGCCTTAGAGGCAACGTTGCCATATTTATATATTTTCGCTCATATAAAGACAGTAAATAAAAGGTTTGCCCACGTCAGCCAATAATAATTTAAAATGGTATAAATTATTTTTCATAATGCTATCAACATATTAAATTGTTATTGTTGCCCAGCAAGAACCTTGGAGGTCTGAGCATGCCTTGCCAAAAATCAGTTTTTATTAACATCATAATGTTAATTTTTTAATTAAATGTTCAAATACATTACTGTTATAGTCGTTACAATATCAGTTGGAACCGTATAAAAACATTTAAAATGTGGCCTGCCTAATAATAATATGCCGCCTCCTCTCCCGCACAAGTCTCCGACTTATGGGCTAATTCTCCTAGTTAGAATGAGGAGTAGAGATATTATTATTATTATTGATGACAGTTTTAAGAAACGTAATCAATTACCTGCTCAGCAAAATATGTAGTTACCATTTCGAGTCATGATTATCCCAGATCTTTTTAAAAATATTATTTGTACATTCTATCTAATCTATCTATCATATCTAATGTTTAGGTAACGATATTGAAAATCATTTTCACTATAAGCTTCTTAAAAAAATCTTATGAAATGAAAAAGATCACAGTAGGCCTTGAATTCAACGAGAAATTAAAAATGCAATAATATAAGTTTTTTTAAAGATAATTTTGTAATCTGTATTTTTTTAATAAAAACATGGATTTCTCTATAGATTTCGATGTTTAACAGTGGGAGGTTAGGCCACATTTTCTCGTTTCTTCTAGCTCTCCCCAACAAAGTGGCAAGTGGAAGGCCCTTGTAATAATTTCTTCGACAAATCGTGAAAGGATTTCCCAGTCGCAGATACACGAGGGGCTTACCCCCGTAACGAAAACCCCTTCTATTGTGTTAAAAAAAATCCATCAACTGGGGCGTTTGTTGATAGGTATGTATTTTATGTTTTCCGTTATACGGAGGAAATTTAATAAAAAGGGATAAAAATTGTTTCCTCTGAATTATGTGGGAGGGCTAAATATAATGGAAGTTGGCGAAAGAGAAAATATTAACACAATTCCGCTGTGTACATCTTGGGGCCCAGGGCCGGTCTGAGCAAGTTTTATATTTGATAGCAGTAACCCCTTGCCGAATTTTTATTTAATAACGTCATCAGTAAATCGTATATCGTATCAATAATGACAAAATTGCAATATAATTTATTAAGCATTGATTAGAACAGCCATGCAACCAAATATATAAAATTAGGTGAAGTATGAAGATTGTTAGATCAGTTAATATACAATTGGACTACTAAAATCAATTAAACTGTAGTTATTAAGATACACCTGTAAAATAGCCAAACTTTACTGTACTGTGTTAAAAATTCGAAGCTAGTGCAATAAAGTCTCGTGAGTGCAATAAAGCAGCGCGAGTGCAATAAATCCGCGTTAATGCAATAAAGTTATGCGAGTGTAATAAAGCCGTGTGAGTGCAAAAAAGCCTCGTGAGTGCAAAAAAGTTGCGTGAGTGCAATAAATCCGCATTGGTGTAATGAAATCGCGTGAGTGCAATAAAGTCGCGTGAGTACAATAAAGAAACTATTTACTCGTGTACGCTACAAGTTTTACAAATGATTAATTTTCATAAATACAGAACTATGTCGATTTTTTCTACATGTCACTTTGACGGCGAGACTGAATCGATACAACATTATTAAAAATTTTAAGCAGTTATGGGAACTAAGGGAACGACGCGATATTGTAAATAAACTACTGTCATTGAAGTTACCATTGTTGTCACCATTATTGCTTATAAAAGCCTGAATTAAAAGAGAATTAAAAATATTTCACAGTGACTGTAGTGATTACATTTTTGTTGAAAACCTGGTTAATTGCAAATACTGATGACCTTACTGATATAACTTTTAACTGAAATGATCCAAAAAATGAGTGTAATAAAATCTTTCATTAAATAGGCTCTTGAAAAAGCAATATTTTACAATGGTTTAACAAAAAAAATATTGCATTAAATTTTTGTTTATTACTAATCTAAGACATAGTCATGACAACCAAAATTTTTTCTGGATTTATAAATTATATAAATTTAAAATTCTGTTAAATAATCTAGTTACTAATACTGATATATAACTAATATGTCTACGACTGAGGTTCTTTTTTTTTCTATTATATAAACTGATATTATTTGTAAAATATTTGTAACTAAAACTATCTAGTCCGGATCTGCACTTCACAATGTCAACGATGAGAAAACGTGTCCTATCGAAGCCAATCCGTCCCGGTTTGGTTGCTCCTCATAGTAAAACACGCGTTTCACTGGGGAAACGATCATTGTTTTATTTTTTTTTCTATATCATCGCTCCCAAAAGTAGAGCGATAAATTTAAGGACTCCGACTCCAAGGAGGGAATTCATGTGGGGAGATAAAGTCTAAATTAGACGATGTTATTTGTCGCCTGAGAGAAAAACGTTGGCAAAGATATATGCCGTATATAAAAATGACTTACTTCAGTGGGGATTCGGAGGGGTGTTCTCCAAGGTTCATTATAAGGGCCGATAGTGTTTCTGTTGAATTTAGGGTACTTATTGAATTAATTTATCCGTTTGACTTGTACTTTGCGGATTTTCTAGTTCCTATTAAAGTAAGCAGTTTCCTCTTTCTTGCAGGTAGGTTGATTTCTAAGTTAGTTTAAAAAAAGTTAGGTGTAGTCAGTAGGCCATATTTTTTTAAATATAATCACCTTTAAACACCTTTAAGATTGAAATTGCTCTTACCACTTATAACTGACGAAACAAATTAAACTTCTAATCACAAGGATACATTTTTTTAATTTTTGCTTGATCAATTCGTAGTGTATGCTCAGTTGGTCATAGAAGGGTGATTAAACTGGGTGTATTTTTTATGTTGTTCATGGGAACGCATATCGTCAAATTGTATATTATTTTATATTGGCGCATATCATATATTGTGTATTAACGCATATCGTATATTGTATATTGACGCATATCGTATATTGTATATTAACGCATATATTGTATATTGACGCATATCGTATATTAACTCATATCGTATATTGTATATAAAGGCATATAATATTAATAATAATATTAACGTATATTATAACGAGCGTTCAAATAAAAACGTGGTCTAGTTGGTTCTGAAAATTTGGACGTAGGGCGTAGCGTATAGCAAATGAACTTAAACGTCATCTGTCAAAGCGCTATATCGCCGCTATCAATTTGAATATTTTCGTTTTAAAAAGCGTTTAAAANGGACCTTCAATTCAAAATGATATCTTTTCAATTCTTTTACGATTTAGACAACATACATTAGTCATGTCTGCAGATATCGAGAAAATGTATAGGCAGATCCTTATTCATCCAGACGATAGGCATTTACAGCGAATTGTTTGGAGAAATAATTCAAATGAAAGTGTTTCAGTTTATGAGTTGAATACAGTAACTTATGGCACGAAGTCAGCACCTTATTTAGCAATACGGTGTTTGAAACAGGTCGCTTATGAGTTCCAAGACCAATTTCCTATTGCATCAGAAATTATTCTACGTGATTTTTATGTAGATGACCTAATAACTGGATTTGATTCTGAAGAAGAAGCTATTACAATTTGTAAAGAAATAATTTTTATATTAAATTCTGTACGATTTCCGCTTCGAAAATGGACATCAAATAGTTCTAGGTTTCTAGAAAAAATTGAAAATAAGTCTAATCCCATGAGTGTTATCATTCTTGGTGACAACGAGCAATCTAAAACATTGGGCATTCGTTGGGTACCAAAAACAGATGTGCTTGTGTATCATATTTCTGCAAGTTCTGAAAATATTGTGACAAAGCGATTTATACTTTCAAATGTGGCAAAAATATTTGACCCACTAGGTCTTGTTAGTCCATGTGTCATTATGTTAAAAATTATTATTCAAAAGCTTTGGACTTTGAAGCTAGATTGGGATGATCCAGTTCCAACTCAGTTAAAAAATAAATGGTTAGAATGCAGGAATGATTTGTCTTCTCTTAATCAATTACAGTTTAACAGGCACGTTTTGTGTCCTAATTGTGTGCATAGTGCTATTGAACTGCACGGTTTTTGTGATGCATCTCAGGAAGCTTATGGTGCCTGCATTTTTGTTAGATGTATTGATGAACATAATTGTGTGCATGTTAATCTTTTATGTGCAAAGACGAAGGTTGCACCTTTAAAATCTTTAACCATTCCAAGGTTAGAGTTATGCAGTGCATTACTATTATCAGAATTGCTTGAAAAGGTTAAAAATTCTCTTACTATTCCATTTACTTACTATTTATGGTCTGACAGTCAAATAGTTTTATGCTGGATTCATACAGAACCTAATTTATTACAAACATTCGTTCAGCATAGAGTCTCTAAAATTCAATCTTTAACTAATCCTAAATGTTGGAACTATATTAACACAAAAACAAATCCTGCTGATTTAGCATCAAG